AAGTAAACCCTTTGAGAATTAAAATGACTCACCTCCTAGGGGCAACTGTCACAGTGTCACGCTCAATCTGGTTGTTCCGGTATTCTGTAATTGGACCTATGAAACTTTTTTGATATGCCATAACCCGAAAGGAATGTCCATGCTAAATATGTATTAAAAAGGTTAATAAATATGTAAAATATAACACTCGCTAGATTTAAAGATTGTTACCAAATGAAGTGGGTGAGCGATATCGTCTGCATCTAAAAAAAATAAAATCTGTTATATAGTTTAAGTAATTATATTTTAACTTCTACTTAAAATACTAACTTGTCAATGTAACATCAATAATCTGTCCAGAATTATTTAAAATTATAACATTCATATTAGGTTCAAATATTTGATAACCGTACAGTTTGAATAGACCTTGATTTTCCATTGTAAATTGGAGTGTATTTTCAGTGCTATCTAAGGATGAATCGTCATATATCACAGATCGACCTGATATCACAGATTGACCTGCATCCGTTATTAAAGATACTGAACCGTATGTTGTATATGGATTCTTTGTAGAGTTAGTTGTAGACATGTAAATTCCAAAAAAGTAATCTTTTTTATCCTCGTCTTGTTCTGGTTCTGGTGCATTTGAATCATCTTCTGGCGACAACAAACCATAATCAAAATCAGTACAAGGTAAATCCCCTTCAGAACCTTCCTCATCTAAGTTAACCCATGCATCAGTGGTGGGGTCATCAACAGATTCCTTGTCGTAACGAACAATTGCTTTAATCTCTTTGACTAGCATTGCCTTTTGATCACTATGCGTATTATCTCGAATACAATCTGTGCTAGTTTGAATACGCATCCAAAAATTGACTGTGTCAGTTTCATCAGTGCTAGCTATCACAGAATATCTTTGTCCGACACTAAGAGGTAATTTTGTGTGATTCTTATATGAGTCCTTGACGCGCATTCCTTCAACCTCGATAACTTCTAACGTATGTTTGTCAATTGAAAAATAGTACAGCACTAACGCCCTAAATATAGTAATGAAAAATATAATGAATCCATTTTTGTTATTACCCTGCATTTAGTATGAGATGCATTTTTATTATTACCCTGAATTTAGTATGCGAAGTCGATATCTTTGGTTTCTTTCAAAATTATATACAACACCAGGTGCTACAACACTATTTTTCGGTGTACAACCCAAACAATTTCCTGCACCCTTTCCATTAATAACTATGGAGTGAGGAACAGGCTATTAAAAAAAAATAATAAATAAATAAGTTAATGGTTTCACAAATCGGTTTTTTTGAAGAAGCGAATATTTAGCAGTATATTACCTCTGCAGCTATTTTAGGTGAATAATTACAGTAACGATATGCATTCAGTAATGTATTTGCCCAAACATTGTACCAGTCTGATATGAGGACACAATATGGGCATGGATTCTCAGCATTATCTGAATCTAAATCTTCATCATAACATTTATTATCATCATCCTCAATGATTATGTAGCCGTATAATCCATCAACACGTTGAGCTTTATAATGAGAATGACTGGATTTTATAAAGATTCTGTTATTGTGATCAACTTTAGGCATTAAAATTATTTGGTTGTATACTTACTACCAATGAGTACCAGGTTTATCATTAGCCTTAAATTCGTATAGAAAATTTTCACCCTCTTTGATTGGGCATTGTGTTACGGACTCGGATCCATCCGCAAAACAGGCCTTTTGCATAAGAAGTCCATGCCAATGGAACGTGGTCGGCTCTCCAAGCATATTCCTTATTAAAACTCTAACAAGTTGTTTTGGTTTCACTATAAGGGTTGGTGCAGGGAATGGGAATGGTGTATCTGTTTCAGCAAATGATTCATTTTCTTTGTTGTAGGTAGAGTAAACAACCACGACGTCCCGCACACCACATCCGTCGATATCTTTTTTAGCCTTGGCAACTGTCCAATCAATAATGCCATTTTCATCTCTTGCATCGATTGTACGAGGACGAGGTATAGACAATGCCGAAATAGATAATTGTAAAATTATAAATAACACAATAAGAAGTAATTTTTTTAACACCATTTTCATGACTATATATGTTATTTATTGCGTCTATATCTAACAAGACTTAAGTACGGAATGGCCAACTATTTGTACTTATTCTCTTTCAATCATTTCTGAAGCCCATGATTTCCGGAAATTACCGAAAGATTTATTTGTTTTTCGATGCTCACTTTGAGTCAGTAAACAATGATAATTGAGCTAAAATATTTTCATTCATAAATTTCAAAACATATCGGCCAATTTTGATTTTTGGGCCCATTTTGACACGAATTTTTTAAGTAATATCGAAAAAGTAACAAACAAAGTACTTATAAACCAATAAAAGAACCTATTAGCATCTAGACAAGATTAAAAAACAAAGAAAATAAATAAAACATTATGCTAAGTTGTAGAAAAAAGTACTTTTACTGCTTGTTGATAGATTCGGGTGTTTTAGGATTGATTTGTCATTGTAGTCTATATCTTTAGAAATGAGGCATTGTCAAACTAATAAGCCATTAAGATATTAATTTATCATTTAATAAATTTGTAGTATGTAAAATATCTTAGTAAAATAAATAGCTACGCGACTGTTCAATAATGATGGTATCCGATAGTTAATATGACCATGTGAAGTTTTTTCTGTGATATTTTGCAAAACTGATTACGTAATTTCATGCAAAAAATATCACGGCAAAAAAATTCACATGATCATATGAAATTCGGATAATTACACATATTGAGACATTTTCGCTTATCGTTATGCCATGACTTCCTTTTTTGAAATAATGTTTGAAATCCAAGCTATATGTAACATCAATATCAAAAGAAATGTATGTACAGCAAGGGTGTCGTTTGGCTTATAATTTTGAGACAAGTTATTTAGCTATGTAACTCACCGGCCTAAAAAATTTTCCGGTAAATATGTTTAAGATCACGTGTAACATATAAAAAAACAAAACAAACGTTTATAAATTAAAATTTTGGCTGAGTGCCTTCCAGCATATAAGAAACTCGTATTTTTATATTTTTACGGAAAGTTACGGGTTTAATGAGTCATGTGCCTAAAAATAAATACAGGTATAAACCGGTTATAAATTATGCACGTGCGGGATATTTAATGACATTAAATCAACTGACGCCAAAATTACCAATCAAATTTCAAGAGCAACCTGGACTCGAATATGTTATATTCAAGCCTGTTCTTAACATATTCGTATAATCGTTTTTATAATCCTTGCTTTTATTAAACTTTGTTGAAAGTATTACTTCTCTGATACGTATTCATTTTTTTTTATCCGCGTCAATATTGCAAAAGTACCGGTACTTTGCTTTTATCAATCAAGGTATATATTTAAAGTTATTTGTACTTCGTATTCTGCAAATAGATGTCAAGTTTTAAAATACTTAAACTAAATAAAATTATAAAATCTTATTTCCTTTTAGTTTGTATGATTCTCCATGTTCAGAATTTTTTTGAAAATTGAGGCATTTAAACTATTTATATACTTTTATTTAATTCCTATGTATCGATTTAGTTAAGCATAGCGTATTTCTAAAGTACTATATCTTGTAGAATACTTACCTGCTCTTACTTGGATATTTAATGGTAATAATTATTGTCGCGGATCATAATTTAAAATGAAATCTACATTTTCTACTCAACCTGTTAACCTTCTAAAACCCACTT